TCTATTGTATCTCTGGTTTCTACCTCATTGATCTCTGCTCTAATTGTGATTATTTCTCTTCTTATTTGTGGTGTTGGTTTTATTTTTTGTTGACTCTCCAGTTTTTTAAGGTGTAGAGACAGTTGGTGTATTCTGGATATTTCAGTTTTTTTGAGGGAGGCTTGGATGGCTATATTCCCCCCTTAGGACTGCCTTTGCTGTATCCCATAGGTTTTGGACTGAAGTGTCTTCATTCTCATTGGTTTCCGTGAATTAAGTTCTTCTTTGATCTCCTGGTTGATCCAAGCATTCTTAAGCACGGTGGTCTTTAGCTCCCAGGCATTTGAGTTCCTTCCAAACTTTTCCTTGTGATTGAGTTCCAGTTTCAAAGCATTGTTTTCTGAGAACATGCAGGGAATAATCTCAGTCTTTTGGTATCAGTCGTGTCCTGATTTTTGACCCAGTATGTGGTCTATTTTGGAGAAGGTTCCATGTGCACTTGAGAAGAATGAGTATTCTGTTGTTTTAGAGTGGAATGTTCTATATATATCTATGAGGTCCATCTGGTCCAATGTGTTATTCAATGCTCTTGTTTCTTTATTGATTTTCTGCTTGCATGATCTGTCTATTACTGAGAGAGGCATGTTAAGATCTCCTACTATTAATGTATTCATATCAGTATTACTCTTTATCTTGATTAATAGTTTTCTTATGTAATTGGCTGCTCCCATATTGGGGACATAAATATTTACAATTGTTAGATATTCTTGGTGGAGAGTCCCTTTAAGAATTATGTAGTGTCTTTCTGTATCTCTGACTACAGTCTTTAGTTTAAAATCTAATTTATCTGATATGAGAATTGCTACCCTGGCCTTCTTTTGAGGCCCATTGGCATGAAAGATGCTTCTCCATCCCTTCACTTTCAGTCTGGGTGTATCCTTAGGTTCGAAATGGGTCTCTTGTAGACAATATATGGATGGGTCCTGTTGTTTTATCCAATCTGCAGCCCTGTGTCATTTTATGGGCGCATTTAGGCCATTCACATTGAGAGTGATTATTGATAGTTACGTTTCTATTGACATTGTGTTACCTTTGAAGTCTTTCTTTCTGTAGATTGTCTCTGTGTTTCTGTTCAATGATATTTTTAGGATTTTTGCTCTTTATAGAACCCCCCTTAATATTTCCTGCAGTGTTGGCTTGGTGGTCGCATACTCTTTTAAGCCTTGCCGGTCTTGGAAACTCTTTATCTCGCCATTCATTTTTTTTTTTTTTTAATTTGACAGAGAGAGAGAGAGAGATCACAGGTAGGCAGAGGGGCAGGCAGAGAGAGAGGGGGAAGCAGAGAGAGAGGGAGAAGCAGAGAGAGAGGGGGAAGCAGGCTCCCTGCTGAGCAGAGAGCCCCATGCGGGGCTTGATCCCAGGACCCTGAGATCATGACCTGAGCCAAAGGCAGAGGCTTAACCCACTAAGCCACCCAGGCGCCCCAACGCCATTCATTTTGAATGTCAGTCTTGCTGGATAAAGTATTCTTGGCTGCATGTTTTTCTCATTTAGTGCCCTGAATATATCTTGCCAGCCCTTTCTGGCTTTCCAGGTTTCTGTGGACAGGTCTGGCATTATTCTGATGGGCTTTCCTCTGTATGTACGGAGCTTCTTTGTCCTAGCTGATTCCAAGAGGGCCTGCCTACAATTATAATTCTTCATTCTTACTATTAGGTGCCTCGAGGACTTTCACGAACCTATAATCTTGGGGGGAAATCATTCTGAGTCTAGTACATGAATGCTCTTCCATTCGTGAGATTGGGAAAATTTTCATGGACAACTTCTTCCACTATATCTTCTAGACTTCTTTTTTTCTCCTCCTCTTCAGGAATTCCAAAAATTCTGACGTTGGAATGTTTCATGGCATCACTTATTTCCCTAGTTCTGTTTTCATGTTCCAGTCTTCCTCCTGATACTTTCTCTCTATCTGTTTGTCCTCCAGATCACTAATTCTATCTTCTGTTTCAGTTATACTAGCTTTTAGAGAATTTAGATTAGATTGGAACTCATTGAGGGCATTGTGAACATCATCCCTGGTTGCTGTTAGTTCTACCCTAACATTGTGAACATCATCCTTGGTGGCTTTTAGTTCTGCCCTAATCAATTCTGTTTGGTCATCCATGGCTTTATCCAACCTAGCTATTGCCTGGATAATTGTTAGCCTGAATTCCCTTTCTGACATATTGTCTATGTCGATAGCCATTAGCTCTGTTGCAGAAGGCCCATCCTCTGAATATTTCTTCTGTTGTGCATTCTTCCTCCTAGTCATTTTGGTGAGAGATGGCTGAACTGATGTAGCTGGATGTATCAACAGTGGTGCAGTCAAGGTGCACCATGGAACACTTCTGAGCAATCAGGAGTTCCCACCCAAATGAAAGATAAAAGAAAGAGAGAAAAAAGAAAAGAAAAAGAAAAAAAGAGAGAGAGAGAAAGAGACAGGAAAAAAAAGAAAGATAAATAAGAAATCTCAGCCCAAATGGGCTCCAATATAAGATTTGTCAAGTAGACAAGATATATATATATATATATATATATATATATATATATATATATAAAAGCAAAAAAGAAAAAAAAAGAACCTCCTCAAAAAGAACCCCAAGTATAAGATTTATATACTATCAGGACAAACACAAACACACAGAAACACTGGTGGAAGAAAAACATGGGAGAGTGGTTATAAATTCTCACTGTGGGCGAGGAAGTTTATTTTGATTCCTCCTGGGTGTATCTTGATCTCTTTGTTAAAGGACTCTACTTTTGTAAGATAAAGGGGGATTAAAAATTGGTTTACCTATAGGGGTAATGTTGATTGGGGAAAGGGGATTACCTTGAAGTTTAATTCTATATGAATATTAAAAAATAAAAATAAAAAAAGGATAAACTAAATTAAAGTACACTAAACTAAAAGTTAAAAAAAAAAAGAAAAGCTAAAAAAAGACTCGGGTATATGTATCAAAAAGTCAGGTTAAAAGGCTATTATGGAATTTATGTACTGGACATCTCACTGTGATGGTAAATAGGTTAAAAATTATCTATAAAAAATGAACCAGAATAGTGGCAACGGATTAAAAATAAAACTTGTATCTATGAAGTAGTGGTGGTTGTTCTCTTGTCATCTCTTTTTTTTTTTTTTTTTCCTGTTTGGCTTGCTGGGGGAGGGGCATGCCACGTGGGTTTTCAGGCAATGTTCCCTGAGTTAACGCCTCCCATCCCCATCAAGGGGGTGGGCTCTGAGGAAACCGGTTTTTCAGGCTTTTGTTCTCTGGAGGTTTTTATGTTTGTTTGTTTGTTTGTTTTCTCTCGCCTGGACAGCTTTTGATGGTTTTTGGGGTTTAGAGGAAAGCAAACTGCACCCAGACCTCCCTCTCAGAGAGAAGCCTCAGTCTATTTCCCTCTGGGTGCTGCAGAGCACATAAGTTCTCTCTTGGCCACTGGCAGAGCAGGTTCTGAGTCGCGGTCCCTGGGGGACACAGGAACTCCTGCTTGTACCCAAACCCACGACAGCAGCGGCTGTCTGGGCAGCTCCAGACCGCCAGAGAAGTTCCAAGGAGCGATCACACACTGAGATTTTCCTGCTGTCCCAAGCTGGGAGTACCTGGTCTTTCCGGGTCCGAGAGTGCTGGGCTGGTGCCTGAGCGCACCACTCTCAGGGGAGGGCGTGGGGCGTGATTCAGGCTCTGATAGCACCGCTCAGCGCTCATGTGGGGACTACAAAATGGCTGTGCTTCTGCCGGCTGGCGAGGCTCCCAGCCCCTCATAAGAGCCACACCCCATGCGCTCTCAGGTGTGCTGGTGGCTCAGGGACCAAGACCTGGTTTCTCTGCCGCACTCTGGCTTTGCACCAGGGGTGACTGTCCTGGGTCCAGGGACTTAAGCCCCTGTCTTTAACTGCCCAAATTCCCACAATTTCCCCCCATGATCCTTTGCTCTTTTTGAGCGCTTTTAACCAGACTCCAAGTTAATGCTGGTCCCTAGATGCAGGGCACTCTTGTATTGGGGCATTACTTTCCAATGGGTCGCCTCTGGTGGCTCCTTCCCCCTTTTGTTTACCCTCCGATATCAGTCCAATGTTCCCACTCTGCTTTACCTGCCCACTGGCGTCTTCTGCCCCTGTAGAGATCCAGATGTGTATAATTCTGATCTCAGGCTGATTTCATGGGTTATCGGAGTTCTTTGCTAGGTAATCAGCTCACTTTAGGGTACAGGTTGAAACAGCGCCTACTCCTACTTCCCCGCCATCTTGTCTCCCTGTGTCTGTAGCTTTTTTTAGATTATATCTTCACAGACTTTTTATTTCACCCCCAGTTCCTCACCTTCCCTCCCTTAAGTCCCTACACTTGCACACTGTCTCGGTGATGTAAAGGTATCATCCGGGCAATGAGCCTTCATTTATTTTATTAGGTATTTCACCATGTGTTTCATTTTGAATACTTTCCATTGCTATGGCATCAGTTTTCCCGACAGCATTATATTTCCTGTCAGTATATCCCCAGTATTTTTAAATTTCAGACATATTCATTTAAGGAAGTTTTAAAAGAAAAGTTCTTTAAAAAGGTGTTCCATTTCTGCTTTTCACATGTGCAGTCCTTCCTCCACACAAAGTCCCAGAGGAAATGGAGTCCTAACAACTGATTACAAATGCGCTGGTGATATGCGCTGTGCAGCCTGCCTGGAGGACTGGGAGGAATGGGACAGACTGGGGACCTCAGACCTGGGGACCTGGGCCTGAACTTCATTGCTCTGCTCTCCTCCTGGAGCTGGAGGAGAGGGTGACACAGATGGGCAACTGGTTTGTGTTTCACTTCCCCATCTGCCTGTGTCACTGTGAGCATTACCACTATCCCACACTTGACAGTAATAGTGAGCCTTGTCCTCGACCTGTGCCATGCTGATGGTGAGGGTGGCCATGTTCCCTGACTTGGAGCCAGAGAATCGCTCTGGGATCCCAGAGGGCCACTCACTATCTACATAAATGACTGTCAAAGGGGCTTCTCCTGGCTTTTACTGGTACCAGTGTACATAATCATATTCAGTTCCTCTCCAGTGCAGGTGATTGTAGCCATCTGTCCCAGGGCCACTGACACAAAGGGTGGCTGAGTCAGCTCACTGGAGACCACGGAGCCTGAAAATACAGAAGAGGAGAGGTCCAGGGACTCATCCCAGGATCCTAATTCTGAGGTTGTGCTGTGCCTGTGCTCAAGGTTTGTGGCAGGCTCAGCTCAGGTCCTGTGGGGCTGAGAGTGTGGGCAGGACTGAGGACAGCACCAGTGCAGAGAGTGAGGAGGAGGAGGAGCGAGAGAGGGGTCCAGGCCATGGCAGATTTCCTCGGGGCTGCTTCTGCAAATCACAGCTGAATCAGCCTCACCCTGACCTCTCTTATTTCTTTCCAGGCCTTTTGTTCTGTGGTTGATAGTATTTATGCAAATTTCCTCCTCTCTGGGAATCAAACCATCTACAAGCTCAGGCCAGGTGAATGAGGAGGGAGAAATGATCCTGCAGCTTTCTCCAACAGCTCTCAGGTCAGAAAATGAAAGTTGGTCTCTAAATTTGGTATCATGATCACATTCCAGGGATTTGAACACAACCACTGACCCTACCCATTCTGCCTGGGGTTTGTCTGGGGCTGGCCCAGGGTCTTCCAGATTTCTGGCCATGGGCTGCTGGTCTGGTCCCTCTGAGAAATTCAAACAACACTAGAGTCAGGGAAAGGTGGTTCAGTGACCTCATGACCTCCTTCCCTGGCTTCTCGTTCCCTCTCTATACCCCAGAGACTCTGTGGTCCCATCTGTGGCATGACAACAAAATAGGAAACTCTCTCATTTTGAGGTTCATCATCATTTTGTAAGTGGGAGCTTACTAGTCAAACAACCACCTGCTGTTGGAGATTCATCAGGATTTCCAGTCTATTTACACATGGTGCTATTGTCTCTATGAAGCCCCCATCCCACAGCAGACCAGCAATTGACATAATCAACCAGTTGATATTGCTTACTTTTTTCATCAACGTTTCATGCAAACCTATTAATATGGCCTGAATCCATATGAAAATATTTCAAGGTTGGTGGTCTTGTGAAGATCCACATGATCACATGTTCCCATATGGTGTGAGCTCCAGGCCCTGAGCCATGGTCCTTGCAGCCATGAGAGTCATGTTACTCTGGAGACAGTCTCACAAGGAGTCTCGGATGCTCCTTCCAGGGACCAGGGTCCTGAGTGTTCTGCCTCCTGCTCCCTGAGATGCCCTTGAACAAAGGAGCTGCAGCCCCAGGTCTGAGTTGGGGTGGAGGTGGGGAAGGAGAGGCAGAATGTGAGTCATTGGGTGTCTCTGAATGTGCCCAGCACAGAGGAGTCAGTCTCTGGGGACACTGGTGGACAGAGAGGGGACCTGAATTTCCCAGGTGAGATGTGTAAGGGCCTGGTTGGCCAGAGGGATTCATTTTGTTTTTATGTAGTGAACTTAGATCGACCCCGCCCCTCCCAGAGGAACTTACTTGCAAAGCCTAGATACAAGGGTGGGTCAGGTCACGTGAAGACATCCAATCAGTGGGGTGCACATATATCTAACTGGGGTAAATTGAAATTCAACTGGACACCTGTGTGTTACCTAGCAGTTTTTTTGTGTGTGGCAGACCTAGCATGACTGTGCAGTTTTCTCTGTGTATTGCAATCTCATTGGCCACCTGTGTATAGCCCGGCTAAACTACCTCTATAAAAGTTAGTCTGTGAGGCTGGGAGGGGTCTCCTCTTTGCAAGAAACGGCCCTGACTGGTCAGTTTGATTCTCGATGCTTGGTGCAAAATAAAGCTTTGCTTGACCTTCACTTTGTATCAGTCTCGCTCCTTTGATTACATTGGGGGCTCGTCCGCAATCAAATGATGAGAACTGAGCCAGCATCAGAATTTCTGGGAAAAGCCTCTGGAGGTAAGATCATGGGATCCTGTGTGTCTGGTTGTGGAGCTCCAGGGTATGGCCCACTGGGGAGAAGCTGGATGCAGCCATGCTCCCCAGGGCTGGAGTGGATGCAGGGGACACCCCATCCCTCTTCTGGTACCTGCCAGGGGGTTCGAGTCCCCCTGGGCAGTCAGGGGGCTGAGAAAACCCCCACCAGCAGGTGGTTGCAAGAGACCGAGAAAATCTCCACCGGCCGCTGGGTTTGGTTGTCTTTGTCTTGTCTTTTGTTGCCTGTAGTGTTGCTCATCCCTAGGGGACCAAGAAAATCCCCATGGGTGAGCATCTCTAGGGGGCTGAGAAAACCCCCACCAGCAGCAGGTTCTGGGTGAGGGTTGCTGGGTCTGTGGTTGTTTTGTCCTGTCTTTTTCTTATCTGTTGCATTGTTTGTTGTATTTGAAGGAATGGGGCAAGCAGAGAGTCAGGGGACTCTGATTTTCGTCTCTCTGTTCCTCATAATAGATGTGGGGCTTCTCCCTCACTCATTTCATGTGTTAAGGGCTATGACTGGAGCCAAATGGGGTTAGTCTAACTCGAGACAGAGACTTTAAGGAATATTCTCAAGCAGCTGCCGAAACTCCCTTTGTTTCAGGGAATTCCTTGCCTTCTCTGGCCCGACGTGGACTGCCTAGCCCCTCCCCCTTGCTGGCGGGAGAGCATGGCATCTGAAGTGGAGATGGTTATTTGTCTGTCTCAAGGTTTTAATGTGTAATTGTTAAAGTGGCTTCTGAAGTCTTTGGTAACCTGAAACTGTGAAGGGTTGCTTGAATTACAAATGGAACTAAATATGTTGGATATCTAGGTCTTAACCAAATGGGATAAAATGCTAGAGCGTTGGCTGCTGGAACTGGGCTTGTGCTTTTGAAATCTGCTGGTGAACACGTTTTGTACTTAACTGATTCATAAATTTGCCTTCTAATAATTCTCTTGTAAAATGACTTCCACCTTAAAGGAAATTCATATGGAAAGACTTTCAGGACAAATACAGGTCTTTGATATGTTGAAATCCTGGAACTGAAATGGGTAAGAATTTACAGAAGTAAAAGCTGCATTCGGACTAAGCCAGAATTATTAACATGGGACTAGGTGAACTGGAAGATTGTAATGTTGTATCTCTTGATGTTTTGTCTTATTTTAAACATTAATGGTTCTTTAATGTTTGCTCTTCCAGACTAGGGAAACTTTTTCTTAAGTTATCTGTAACTTACAGAGATATAAAAGTAGTCATTTGTAAACAAATCAAGATATTCAACTCTTTCTCTCTATCTGAACCCTCTGAAACCAAAAGGTCTCAGCAAGTATTCTTTCTTCCATGGCAATCAGTCATTTGCATAAGTTCAATAAGAATCTGTTCTCGTTGTAACAGGACACCATTGGAAACACTGGTTATTTTGCCAAGGCTTTGACTAGAATGTCATTTTTGAAAAGACTCAGATATGACTAGACAGCTTAAAGGAACTAAGATTGACTTTATAAAACCTGGAACCATAAAGCCCTTTGGAACTGTTGGCCTGTTACCTTGCTTAGAGAGTTCCCAGCAGACTCAACAGGTGAGTAAAGGATGTTACTTCCTGGCAGGTGCAGGAACCTCAGGATTCTTTGGGGGCCTCAGGAAGAGGAATTCGCCCAAATCGACAGGTATTGCAGGCATGTCTGATGGCAAGTATGTAGCTTGGCTTCTGGCCTGGAGAGGCTATTATAAGTTCAACCTAGAGATTCCTTACAAGAAGTTCCAGCAAAGCAGATTCTAAAATATTTATATGATCACGCACTGTTCTTGCTGAGCTTATGTAAATAATTAGGCCAAGTTTGTTAAAACTGGACTTGTTTTTCAAATAAATTAGTCCTGATTTGGCTATCTCTGGAAATGAGGGTTATTTTAGAGAGAAAAATTATGTTTTAATAACACACATTTATGGATGTTAAATTCTAGATTTGATTGTCTTTAAATGTTTGTTTACCTAAGCTAGACAACTTGAGGTAAACTTCAGGGAAGTTGCACGATAGCTCATTTAGATGATCTTGCTTTGCCAGTCAGTCAGCCCCAGATATAGGAAACTTCAGAAAATTGAAGGATTTGAAGGGAAGAATCTAAGTTAGTGGGAATAGCAGCAAAGGTGTTTAACAACAGGGATGCACAGGAGAAAGGTTTTGGCATTATATGAGGCAGGTAGGGGATGGTAAAAGGAAGGAAAAGCCTAAGCACAGAGAAGGCAGGTGGGAAGACTTAGATTCAGATCAGTGTGCTTACTGTAAGGAAAAAGGACATTGGGCCAGGGAGTGCCCCAAAAGGAAGATGGCCATGCTGGCCTCCAGAGACTGAAGGGGCTGTGGTTTGGAGCCCCTCCTTGAACCTCGGGTAAAAATTGAAGTGGAGGGGAAATCATTTGAAACCTATGGGAAAACTATCTAGAGAGGAAGTCTGGGTACAAGGGGCGAATGGCATAGAAAGACATAAATGGACAACTGTGCAGATGTTTGTGGCAGCAGAAGATGAATACCTTCTTTACGAGCCAGTCTCAGAACCAGAGGAGACAAGAGAAAGGAGCCTTCTCCAAACCCTACAGGTCGAGTTTCCCAAAGTCTGGCCAGAAGGGAAGTCCCCTGGCTTGGCCAAGGGACAGCCTCCAGTGGTGGTACAATTAAAAGCGATGGCTACAGCTGTTCACGTCCAGCTGTACTCCACCCCTCGGGAAGCAAAGGAAGGGATCAGAAAGCACATTAACTGCCTCTGAGGAGATGAGATCCTAGTTCCTTGCAAATCTCCATGGAACACACCTTTGCTGCTGGTCGAAAAGGCCGAGACTGGGGAGTACCAACCCATTCAGGACTTGCGGGAAGTTAATAAACAGGTTGAAGATATCCACCTGACAGTGTCTAACCCCTATACCATACTCTCCCTCCTGTGCCCCAGAACAACTGTGTATACCGTCTTAGATCTCAAGGATGCATTTTTCTGCATGTCTTTAGCAAAGGAATTCTCAGCACCTTTTTGCTTTTGAGTGGTCTGACCCACAGGAAGGATTCCAAGGCCAGCTCACCTGGACAAGACTTCCCCAAGGGTTCAAGAATCTGCCCACTATCTTTGACAAGGCCCTACATGAGGATTTGCATGAGTACAGAACCTCCAACCCAGGAGTCACTCTGTTACAGTATGTTGATACCTTGCTAATA